CATACCTCTGGCAGGCAGCTTGTGTTAAATATGATGATGATTGCGATGGGAGCGAAAGTAGTTTGTTCTATTGTCACCATCCACTTGACATTTTCCGTGCTTGCTTTTACCCCGTCGCGTCGTCGGAGGCGTTTGTCTGTGTCCCTATCAGCACTGACATATGTCACTCCACTCCAGTCCTGAATGACTGGGAAGTAACAGCTCGTTTTTCGCTTGAGCATTCATTTTTTCACACGTCGAGCCTTAAAAGGAGCGGTGACACTCGTATGTAGTTGTGGTCATGACACGAGTGTGAAATATTCTTCACATACTCGTACCAAGATCCGCCCTTCTGGTTATGAATTGAAAAATTTGTAAAACTTTCTGAATACAATTGCTTGCATATAATTTAGTCATGATGGTTATGTGTAACTCCATGCTGTGTAACCAAGCTTCCCGTGCAGCTGATGCGTTATGAGGGACACCATAGTTGTCGTATTTGATGGGAATAATGAAATGTGCATAAAGGCACAGAACGAACAGAAAGAAATAATTAAAAGCATAATAAAGTACAAAAGAAGGCCACAAGGCAAAAGGCAGGCAACATTAGCATACATGAATCGACAATGAGAGGGACTGCGGCAGGAAGAGAACCTGGTTGGTGGAGACCCTCCATGAGGCCAAGGCAGTTTCAAATTCCTGGCGTTTGTATGCTCCACATTACGTGTACGCAGTGTGCACACAGACAAATTACCAACAGTCACGTATTCAACCCTCATTTCTTTGTGTGCAGTTATATATGTGTCTGTGTGTGTGCTGCATGTATGTAATAAAAGCCATTTTAATAATTGTTGGAGCATTTCTCTGGTACTGAAGTCCTCCCTCTTTGGATTCGGTCAGCTGGAATACGGGTATTGCCTCAGTCAGTGGTAATAAAAAGAGTGCTTTTCATAAAGTTTTGAAACATGAATTTTCTTCCATCGGACCGGAATGATATGGAAAATTCAACAGTTGCATGTGAAAATAAATGAATAAATTTCCATTTTATTTGCATATTTGGAAGAGCTTGAGATCAGTTTGTTAAGTTTCGTAGCAAGGACTAAAGAAATGACATAGGAACATCTAAAAGAAAGACATTGGTATTATCTGTTTGTTCTTAGTCTTATATATGTATTTATATATATATAACATAACGTTACATATGTACATATCACTACAACATTCCAGAAACTATTTCATTTATTTAATATCAATAAAAAATCGTATACAAATTGTATGAATACTTACGCTAATTAATGCGCCTATAATGCGCGATGAATCCTTTGTGTGCGGTAGAAAATTAACATTTCACAATTTAAAATTTTGAAAATAATGTCTGAGCGCATAAGTAGGTGTTTAATGCCCAGATTAGGGAGCCGACACCAAATGTTGATGCGGCTTTTTTGTTGGGCGTGTTGAGCCAGATGTGTGGCTGTTAAAACAAAGTTTGTCTCTTGTCACCTGAGAGAGAAGCAACGGAAGAGCGACAGACTGTGGGCTGCCTGTTTCCTGCTGGCTTCACTCTCATGGTTAACATTTTTAAACGTTGTGGAAATCTTTTACACACGGTTCCTGGCAGCTTATGCGAAAAGTGTTGTTCAGAGATTAGAATTGTGAATTCCTTGTGGCTGAGTGGCTTATCTCATTATGTTTATCGCAACACGTACGTCTGATGAAATAAGCGAAATGCTTAAAGAATCGGAGTGAAGCTCTGTTCATATAATTCTGTGGCAAATAAAGCTGATATTTGGAATATTCTAGGTTTCTGACTTTCGACCAAACAGACATTTTTTTTGCCTGTCTGCAGTGCGTCAAATATTTCCCATTTTCAGCAGCAATAAAGCTCATCGCCAACAGGGAGTCTGAAGTGCACAAGTGCACAAAAAGGGCTATGGCAGAGCTCTCTGATAACGTGTTCATATGTCATATGTATTTCTACCACATCATCAACAGAGCTACAAATTAATAAATTACATAAAATTATAAATTTCGTCTGTGGTTGCCAAAGGGAATTTTCATTTCATTTTGTGAAGCCGCGTGACAGGAAGCAAAGGATAAGCTGGCTTTAATAAAAACAGCATTACGCCATGAATGCACAGCATCTGATGATTGGCCTTCTATAAAAGTTACGGCTCCTGCTGCTGCTGCTGCTGGACAGTTATGTGTATACCCCAACCCGGGGGCGACATGTGTTGCATGGCGTTTTGCATAAGCCATCGTTAAAATAAAAACAACAAGATGCTGTTTTTAATCTATGCTGGTCATCGCATCCTGTGTCACATCACCTGTCCAATGCATACACCAAACGATGCTTTACCTTCCTGGAAGTGGCATTTTGCTGACTAGGATTTTTCAGACTTTTAATTGAAAAAAATTTCAAATGCGAAAGCTTTTCAAAATACATAAATAAGGCAGAAATTAAAGATTTTGTATTTGTATTCATTAAGTGAATATTCTGATAAGTTGGAAAATACCAACCAGACAAAGAGATGGTCGAGACCTTTCACTGTTTTTGCAGAGAATCACCAACTATTTTATTGCGTTTAGGGAATGAGCTGGTGGCTTAACTCATATGTAACCAAAAGTTTTACCATAAGGCGCATATAAGCTAACTTCTTCACATGCTCTGGACCGTCTTATATTCATTTATAATTCCAGATGGCTATGGTATAGCATTTTCGCCAGATGTTTCTCTTTTTAATTTGTTATTTTCCTTTAATAATGAAAATGCTGGCGAGATGGGAAGCTTTAATGGCTAGATTTAATGTTATATATGATCCAAAAATGATAAGTAGAAATACGAGTGGCTAATTTATTTAATAGAAGCACTTCCGGCTTATGGCGATCTTTTCCACGCCGCTGCCCAATTTCCGTTAGCTAGAAAATGTTTATAATTTAATGTGTAAGCAATCTGGAAATGCTCTAGATGCAGAAGTGGGCGAGGTAAAAACAAACAGTAATCACTTTAATCATGAACAGATTCAGACAAACTCAGATACATAAAACTCAAACCGATTGTCTGTTCAATCTGTTCGCCAGCACAGAATTCTTTGGGCAAGATGGACAAGATAGGTCTTAATATATACATATATCTTCTAGTAATAAAAAAATTAGAAAAGGTATCATGATTTATGTCGTCTGCACTCAGGAATCGATACAAACCAGATGATTGCGCAACTGGTTTATATATTTTGCTTTAAGATTGTGAATCTTTGGCTGTCTGGCCGTAAAGTAAGTGTCAGAAAATGTCCTCCAGCAATTGTCGTGTTAGCAGTCAATAAGGCGTATCTTCCCAAAAGAAAACGACTTTTGTTATGTCTCATTATGCCAAGAATGGACCCAAGTACAGTGTGGCTGGGACTTTTATTACGTTTCATGATTGTGGCAACATCTGGCAAAGGGCCACCACACAATGTAGCTGTAATTGTGGCGGAAGTGAACGGATGGAAAAGGAAAAATGGATTGGTGCCAGCTGGCAGCGTACAAATAGTTGTAGCCGCAGTTCACCGTCATAACGTCGAACCATTTTAATATTTAAAATATCGTTTAGCATTCGGAAATAGAACAGGACAGGGCCGCAGCTGAATAATTCAGCACTCGAAGTTAATAATAGAAGGGATATGTCTGAAAAATCCGGCTTCGTGTGCTTTGCATATAAATATGCGAAGCTGAAAAGCTTCTTACAGGGATATATTAAAGAGTATTTCAATGTAAGGTGTGAACAGCCTTTTATCCGGACTCTAAATCTGAGGTAAAGGTATGCAAATTAAATTCTGCATAAAAAGCATTGGTAACATGGCAATAAACCGTCGCAAGCTTAAAGAATGAAAATGCTCAACATTTTACGATAAGGTGGAATGGAATATTTAAAGCAAATCTAAGCCTCTTAATTGTACTAAATCGAAGGACCTAAAAGGTCTTTTAATACAAAATTACAAAAGCCAATGCAATCATCAGAAATCTCAACCTGTCACAGTTCAATTATTTATTGAAGGAAACATAATTTCCCCTGTGGTTGACCAGAAAGGTTTTTATATTCAATCTGACACTGATGAATGATGATGATTTCTCACCTGAGAAGCAACAGTCACCGAGCAATGATGTGGAAACACGAGTTTTCCCTTTGATGCCTTGCTGGGTAAATTGGCGATAATTCTGTAAAAGTCACATATCCCCAAAAAGGTGAATGAACGGAGGTGAGCAGCCTTTGACTTCCCACACTTCTACAAAAATTAAATTATTCTTTTATTGCGATTTCATTTTGAGTGGACTCCAAATATTTTTTCTGTTTGAACGGAAATAACATGATACTTGCTTCTGCAATCAATCATCTAAATGTTGTCTATTAAAATGATAAATTGTAGTCGATATACAAAAAGATTTTAAAAACAATAGAAGTGGTAGAGGTGCCATAATTTAATGGAATTGTTCGTATTGCTTGCTTTTAATTAAGAGCATTATACGAGGGCAGCAGGTGTAGCATATTAAAGTTCGTATATACTGCGGAATCAATTTAATTATTGTGCGTAATTCACAAAGAAATTCTATAGCTTTAGAGCGATTATTTTGCTTGTAGCTGTTCGGGTACAGTGAGCCAGCCACATCATATGCATTCTCCACAATGTAAACAGCCAAAGTTAAAAATAGTATAATGAAAGCACAGAAGGCAAAATTAAAGCCAAACAATGCACGAAAAGTACAAATAAAAACTCTGCACTCAATTAAGTACCGCAGTGTAATCAAAAGTTGCCTGCGTTGCAGAAATTATTTAGAACATTTTTGGGCGATTGAACGGTCAATATTTATATTTATTATATGGTTAGAGAAGCCACCAGATGATTATCGACTGTCGCTATATCACGAGTATACACAGTAATAATTATAATTTAATATCCCTAAAAATGGAAAAATGTTTTATAAAATGAATATCCCAAATTTGTTGTACTTTACTTTCAGCTATGAACTATAAACTAACATACAAAACAAAAAAACTTTGGATACCGTTTAATACCCTCGGACACCATTGGCGTGTTAAATTTGTTTTCATTTTCACGGCTTTTCCTGCGCAGACTCCGTCTGCGTCGCAGTTAGCAGAGCTGCCGCTGCCAGAGTCTCTGCCTCAAACGAAATCACTCGACAGCCCGATGAGACTTCAGTCATTATGCGGCTTTCATGAGCAACGCAACGGCAAGGCACGGTACGGAACAGAACATTACGCCACGTGGCTGAACTACGTAAAGAGCTGCGTAACGCGACACGTGTATGTGAAACTAAATATAAAATTCCATTCGAAAAAAAAGTACACATACAATTAAACAGTACATGGAAATAGCAGGAAAGCGAAAGTAATAAAACTAGACTTAATATATAAATTCTATTCCACATTACTGTTCCCCTACATACGCCTGTACACAGTCATGCACATATTTATTCACACCCATACAAAAAGCAGACCCTTTAGCGTGTTTTATTTTTACCGACCTTTTTACTATCCAAGGAGCGAGACGCAAAGGCCCATTCACCCACAATTACTCGAGTGTGCTTTATTTTAATACAAAAAAAATCGACCCGCTTCGCAGTGAACATACGAGTAATAACCTGTGGTGGAATATTTAAATAAAAATCATAAAGTAAAACAAAGTCGAGGACCTCCTTCCATATTTGAAATCATTTATATATACCCATTAAATTCATTGTGATGTGAATTATGTACTATCTGAATCAACTGAATGCCTAAATAGCAAACTACGTAAATTTATAATTATCATAAAGACCCAAGAGAAGCAGCTGCCACGAATATGAAGCACTCTAATCAATTATAGGATTTAATTTGAATAACATAACGATTAAAGTGAGTATATATATGTACACTAGAAGAAAGCATGTAAAATATTTGTACATTACTACAAATTCAATTTCATACTTTTATAAATATTTTCCTTTTATATAGAAAGTTAGCTATAGATATATAGAGCGAAAGAATGTACCAGAAATAACCATAAAAGGGTAATAAACAATAAAAATAAAACAATACAAGAAACAGAGGGAAACAACAAAAGAACCTGTAACCTGGCAACATTGTGTTACCAGAAGCAGTAAGCGGGGAGCTACACAAACGCCATAATAATGTGGCTAAACGCGATGAAACGCTAGGCAGTGAGTACACAAGCCACCAGAAATCCCCATGTGGAACCTGAATGGAGGTCTAAAAGAACCGAAACCACTCGCAAATGTCATGCGTTAGTGGTGCATCAGGACATTTTGTTTGGTTCGCCAGCGTATTACGTATACGCAGTGTGAACGAAAATTACCAACAGTCACGTAGCAAAGCGAACCCCAAGTCCACTTTTAGTACACACGCGTGACCCATAAGTATGTGTGTGAGTGAGGCTTTTTCCACCATCATAATAATTGTTGGGGGCACTTTTCCGACCAAGACTGACCAAGGTCCCGCCCCATCCATTTCGACATTCGACAGGAATAATTACACACACATTTGGCTGTCATATAAAGCCAATTTGCTGAAATGTTGAACTGGAATGACATGGCCAGACAGCATTTGGCACATATTGTGTATTTTGATATTCGCACACCATTTCCCGCTTCCCTCTGGGGCAGCTCCTGTTTTCATTTCGACTCAAAATTTGCATTAGTTTCATGCGGTTAATAGATTCATGTTCTCAGATCCACGAACCACAGCAGAACGTATCTGTGCCACGAGACTGATACACATATACGTACTTGTATCAGTCTCATGGCTGTATGTGTTTCTTATTTAAATTATATATTGGTGACATGTAGAGGTGCCACCTTTTCTTCTGTCTTACCTGCGGCAATCCTCAGTACCCACAGGAATCGGATTTGTAACATTCCACAGATAGTTGTCAAGTGAATGGTGGTAAATCTAACACCTCTGGCTTTCATCAGCATTAACATCGAAAACAGGGCCCGAGGTGCGAAAAGAAAACACGCTGATTTCCACAATAGTTTCAACGTGTTTGCCACTTTTTCAGCTTTATATATGCGCTCTCAGGCAGTGAGAGAGAGAGAGGGAAAGGTGGGCAGCGCTGAAGAAATGTCTGGAATCCAGCTTGGGGACCAGCTGCTGCCGCCTGTCTCTATCCATAATGATGATGTTGCTTGTTCACAAAGTAGAAGAAGAAAGGAGTCTAACATAAGGACGACTCATGTACCCTGCAACCCACATCCAAGCACCCATTTCTCAGTGTCAAGACAGCTCGAAGGAATGCATGAATCGTTTGTTGCTCCATGCAACTGTCATTGCGTCATTCTGTCATTCTGTCAGTACGTAAGCCAACCTCCTCCATGGGCCACGCTTTGAAATTTATGTACCGCATGCTGTGTGTGTGTTTCTGCAATGTCATCCGACTGGAGACTTAAATTTGAGAAAGTTATCGTTTGCTTTGACTTATCTGCGGTGCCATTTGCAGAAACAAGTAACTCAAGTAACTATGCTGGCGGCTAATACAGAAAATACACTGCATAGAAGCAAGTATGAATTATTTTCTCCATTTCTATTGAAGCTGAATGGAACCACAAAAACTCTCAGCCATTCAGCTGTTTTCTCATCGTATTGACACACAAAAAGTCTCCTTCAAAGGATGATATACGTAGACTGACTAGACGAAGAAACCTTTTAACATTTGAACAGTCGAAAAAATTGGAAAACAATTTGCCAGGGCCTGCCACTCTCCTTCTGGCAAAGAATTGGTTGAAGGTCTTAAAAAGGATTTCCATGTTGAATGTTTGAGTTTGTTTCCCGACAGCAATTGGATTTTCATGTTTTCACCTTCTTTACGCTCCTCAGGTGGAAATTGACATCATTGATCGGTGTCAGATTGAATATGAAATCCTTTCGAAACTGTCACATTCTCGTATCAAATTGAATTGTTTGAGGTGTTTAGTGGGCGTTGAGCATTTGAACTTTTTCCGTATTTTGATAGAAATACTCTGAAGAATAAAAGGACAGACAGAAGCAGGCGGATTCAACAGGTTGTGGTTCAAGCTTGTGCTTGGATGTCTTCAATGTCCCGAGTGTTTATAAGCGCTCTCTTTAGAGAAGATATGCTTGCACTTCTCCGGATTTTAATGAAATACTTTTTTAATTGAATTAAATTTTGCTAAAAGTAAAAACTGAAGCTCGTAACCCAAGAAAACTATCCTGCAAATGGGTGCAAGTATAATTACATGAAATAAAAGCTAAAGCCCTATAAAAACTCATATATATGTATTAAAGGTAAATGATGGAAATTCTCAAAGAAAAACATGTTTTCCCAGAAGAAAATTTTATCAAGATAATAGCTTTTAGTCTTGATTGTTCTGAAAGGTTCTAAAATCTAAGGACAACTTTTGGCCAAATGCCGATGGCGAAGTGTTAAACTTGTTTCGAAATGCCAAGGAAAACTCATGCATATCATTTTCTTGTCGTATATTTTATTGTCCTTGTGTCTCCTCCTCCTCCCTTAACTCAATTCAAGTTTTCCCCTTGCTTGTAATGAAATTTGAATTTTGCTAACCCGCAAAAACAATAACAATCAGTGGTTGAGGAATGCGGCTTATTTTTTATTTTTTTTTGTCTGCATAATGTTTTGTTCTGCATGCTGCGGAAGTAAATTATAATTTTGACGTTCTTGGCTGGAAAATTTATGGCTTTTCCTTCTCCCTTTTTGCCACGGTGTTGTCGGCGTATGTACCCACGTCGTGTATACGCAACAAACGCAAGTTTTCCATATGATGAAACCAGTTTACATAGAATGCGGCACCTAAGGTTTCGTTCATAGCATTGACTGCTCCGCAATTTACATATTTTATGGCGTCCTGCAGCGATTTCTGTGTGTCCTGCCCTGGCCTGGCTTAGCACTCTAAGGCCTCTCCTGTTGCTGCCTTCTGGCAATATCCTCTCCTCTTAGGACATGCGTTGGGCCTTTCATATGCAAATCATTTGAGCCATAAAGATTCCTCATGCCTGCATATATTCCTCTATTATTGTTGTCATTTATTCGGGCTGCTCTGCTCAGCTTTTCTATTATTATATTCCATGCTCTGTGGAATGAAATTATTATAGTCGTTCTTCTTGGACGATCCTGTACTACTTTAATACGCTGGCTGTGCATTGATGATTCATAAATAGATAATTACTGTGAGAATAGGCGTAACCATTTCTTTGAGTATTCGGGTTTGAATCGATTCTGGATAAAGAGAGCAAAAAGTCACGGAAATTATATACTTGAGGGCATTGTATTTTGTGGCTACGTTGAAATGCAAAACACGTCTATACTTCGACACTCGTATAAAACTTATGTTTTCGTCTCTCTTACCCCTTCCTTGGAGGGAGGGTCATGTGTGAGTCCAAGCCCCAGTCCCTACATTTGAGTTTATTGTCTGCAAATCTCTTGCTGTTAATGCCAGCCATTACTCAAAGACACAAAACACACACTCTGCAGCTAGGATCCTTGTGCCGTGCTTGGCCACGTTTTGTAATACTTATATGAGCGGACATCAGGCAGAGAAATGGCAGCTGCTGGACTCTGTCAGGCATCTAGGGGTGCATCTGTCGCACCGCCATTATTAATGATGTAATTGACATGGCCCGAATGGATCTTTGGGGCAATATCACATGGCACCGCCTTAAAAGGCACTTAATCCAATTCGTTTGTCCAACAGCTAAGAACTTTTCCTTGAATTATTGGAGAGCTCGTTTTCTTGCAGCGGAGATCAAAGATCATCTAGTTAGATACAGAAATCTAAACTTATGATTGCTGTCGATTTACATTTTAGCTTCTTATTCACTTTTTCTTTTTCTTACTCATTTTTCCTTGTTGCCTTTTCGTTTTCTCTTCGTCCCCCTTCCATTGTATGGTTTGGCATAGTTTGCTTTACTTTTTTCTTGTTTTGTTTGCTTTGGTAATCGTTTCTGGCATTTCTTTTGCTCTCTCATTTCCCCATTCTCTGGCGTCCAATTCAATAAAAATGGAGTACGTGTTGCTTGGGCTAATCGATTTTGGCCTGGGCATTGTTTTTCCCCAGTTTTGACCCACAAAAAAAGTTAGTTTTCATCAGGGAAATGGACAATGGCCAGTTCAGGACTTTACTGGGCCTTTTGGCGAGCGTATTAGACAATGGAAAACAAATAAATCGTCTGAGAATCTTTACCATATGAGGAGAAACTTTAAGTTGAATGGTAGAATATTTATTATATCCGATAGAATCTGGAGTATTTGTTTTTTTAGTGCTACAACGAAAGGAGCTCTATTCTGCTTCAACTGTTCATGGGGTATTAAATGTAATATTCTCCGGCAACAGAGAACATAGAGAAAATGTAAAA